TACAACTTTAGATTATCTAATTTAAGTAGTCCATCTGAAGGTTCTATACTAGCTACTATATCTAAAATTTATTTAAAAATTTTCTATTTAAACTCTTCAGCTATATGTCATTCTTATCTTACTATTATTTGTTATCTAATATTCATCTAACCCTATACTACTTTACTTTTTAGAAGATATCAACAGAGCTAATATGTATCCACAAACTTTAAGATTCAAAGTTAGGCCTATTTCAGATATCTCTTTACTAACTTCCTAATTACTAGGTATTGTAGTATTCAAATATGCTATGCTATATCCTAATCTTGCTTGCATATACCCTTGTTTGATATTCATACAAATCTGATTTCTACTGTAGCTTTCTACTGAGTTAGTTATTTGTGTCTTCAGATATCATATGAGATAAGCTCTCTCAAATCTGATTACCACCTAGATTGGTATTGCTAAAAGTTATTTGTGTCTCCAGATATTATATAGAATAGATCTTTTCAAATCTAGTTAGCTGCTAAGCCAGGTTGGTGTTGCTATACAACCTGGTGTAATGAACTTATATACACTCATTCTGCTGATCTTTTCATACACAGGTTTTCTAACAGACTTACTTGCATCCTAGTTGCTAATCTTTTCATACACAGATTTTTTTTTCTCAGATCAAATGTTAACTGGTATAACTATTGAAATCTGTACTACTTTACCTAACTCAGAATTTCTACCATGCAGGTCCCCTGCTTGTAGATCCTATTAAGATTTATTTATATAAAGTTACACTTTCCCAAATATCCTGTCATACTTCTAATACCCTAATTGGTATTAGTACAATGTAATTTATAGGGTTACAATTCTAGAAATAAGCAGAGTTTACTGTAAGTTAGATACAGATGTCTAGGTAATTATTCAATTCTGTTACAGTGAGATTTGAACCCTAGACCTCTTGTATAGTAGTCCAGCAACCTAATTACTACACTAAGATCACCAGACTCTTCTAACTTGACTTTAATTGTATCTATTATTAATCTATGTTTTAAAACTTTTTAATAAATACCAACTCAATTGCAATATACAAAAAAATTACTTAAATAATCTTATATAGAACTAAAAATAACTCTTGAGTTATTAACTTTAAATAATAATTTAGATAAATCTGTAAATAATTCAAAATTTATAATGAAGATAATGAATTTTGATTAGTTAAAATTACATCTCATCAGATATTAGAATTTATTAAATTTGATGAAATAATATATTATTTAATATTGAATAATATTAGGCTTGACAAAGATCTAATAAAATAATAACAATTAAATAAATCTAAATTACCAATTCTTGCACAACTAGCTAGAAAATATCTTTCAATTCTGGCTTCTTCAGTGCTATCTGAAAGATTATTTTCTGATACAAGAAATCTTATCATAGCAAAAAGAACACATTTATCACCAGATTTAGTAAACCAATTTTTGTTTTTGAAAAGAAATAGTAAGTATATTGAAATATTTTCACAATAGCTTTCTATATATTATACATTGCTTTTGAATACATTCTGCTTAACTATTTTAATATTACATATATGAAACATTAATGCACTTTCTGCTTATTAATTATTGTAAACTAACATGTAAAACATTAATGCACTTTTGCTTATTATTGTAATATTGCATTATAAATATATTGGCTATTCATATACAACATAATATAATTTCACTTTATTGGTTTTATGTTTCCGCTTCACGTTCACTTGATGCCAAATGCCAAACAGGTTAATTTATCTTTATCTGTTATTAAAAGTGGCACATATTTTTCGAAATTATATAACTTATGTATGTAAAAATTATATAAATTGATTTCTTAACGATTCTAATTGAGATATGTATGAAAATCTGTCTTTGACGATTCTGCGTTCTTATTAATAATTTTTGAAGCGACTAATTATTTATACTTAGTGGTTGAGTCTAACTTTAATTAATCAAATATTCATCGGTCGACACTGGCCAATCAGAGAACTAATACGTCACAAATTAACATGTGATAATATGACCCGAATTAATTCGGTTTAAACCAACTCGGTTTTACCTTATTAATAACCGGTTTTATATTATACGAAAATCCAATTCGGTTCTTGAATTTACAACCGGTTCCGACCTCTAATCTCAAGATTTTGTTTATTAAGCTGCCCCTCGCGTTCTAATTAAAATCGTTCCCTGATGTATTTAGCATATAGTTTATTTTATATATATTATGCTTACTATGCTCATTGTCAATGCTATACGTATATGTACTGTACGCTAAAAAAAATCAAAAAAAAAAAAACATGAAATGCAATCAATTTAGTAAAAATTTTTATTTTAATTCCAAGAACTTGTAGAATAAAATAAAAAAATTTTCAGGTAATTAAATTACTAGAAATCTTCGCCTCATATTTTAAAATTTAATTTATATTTGATTTGATTAGCTGCACTTATTATCCCCATCCACATGACTTTTTTCATGTACTTACAGTATTTCTACTGACAAACGTCATCAACATTTTTACTGGTACACGTCATAAGTATTAATTTCTAGACCAGTAAAAATAAGTTGACGATGTTTATCCAAGTACATGAAAAAAGTCATGTGGATGGCAGGGGATAACTATTACTTATAAATAGATATAAACAAATTTTATGTATTTTACTTATAAATTTGTACCTGATCGTTTTTTATACGTATGTACCCAATTGTGACCTAACAGCTAATTATTTTCTGTACGTATGTACCTAATTGTAACCTGATTACTTATCTGTTATAAATTTTTTGTATGTACCTAATTGTAACCGGTTCTACCACAAAATCCCGAAAACTATTTTCTCGAAAGAGTATAATACCGACTAAATTGGACAACATTATAACTAATGCCGGCTAACCTTGTCGGTATTAGGTCCTTTCGGGATTTTGTGGTAAAACCATTGTAACCTGATATAACTTGATTACCTTGTTATCACTAATCACTGTATATTTCGCCCATATGTTTCGACCTAGGTTATAGCTCTATAATTATCAATGTTGTAATCTCAGAATTATAATTATCAAATAATCATTAGACTAACTCGCAGTCATGATTTCAAATGGTTATTGGAATTCTATTACAACTTCAAATTCATGATTTTTTTTTCAACTATGATCTTTGCACTGCAAATACAGCCTCGATGCCATATGCATAAAAGGCTATTATTTATTATCATTGCATTTATCATGTTTTTAGCCATGACATAAATTGAAACTTTCAAATCAATAGGTCATTTGAGTGAAAAAAGTCAGCTTAATAATGATTCAAAACAGGCGATAATAATACTTGACATTTTCACGATAATTATACAATCTATGATTTAATAAACTTTGAAGCTTTAAATGTTAGTAATTAAATTTTATTTGCTCAATTTAAAACAATTGGATATAATTGAACTAACCGTATGTCAACTATCCAATTGTTCAATAAATCTAATAGAAACAATCGGAACACTGTACAAGAACTTAATTTCTAACCATATATAAATAAAAATTTTAAATTTTTATATTGATATAAGTTATGTGAGAAAATAATTCTATACTTATTCAAGAAATCGAGTCAATAAATAATATGGAAAAAAAAAATTTGAAACGATATATATATATATAAAATAATATACAATGTTTTTTTCTGAAAAATTATTAATGTTAACAATTTTTTACTAAATTTAATCAGAATCACTTTCATAATTAATTTCCTTTATATTTTCAGTTTCTGTTCTTAACTGTTTTTTAAGTTCTAAATTTTCTTGAACTAATCGCCTTCTAATCTCTCCTGAAGATCCTTTCCATTTAGAAAGTTTATTCCTATCTTTTCTATCTGAAAGCTTCATGGCGGCTTCTATACTATCTCCAGTACTAGCTTCAGGAATTTTCTCTAATATCCAATCAATTGTAGAAGGTTGTTTCTCTCTAGCTGCCAATACCAATATATTTTCTTTATTATCATCTTTTATGTCACCCCTTGCACCAGAATTCAATAGTGCATCAAGAATCTCGATTGGCCAACCCATCTTAATAGCCAAAAATAATGCATTGGGAGCATTATATTGTTGTGGCATTGTGACTCGGATATTTGGATTTGCTCCTTTTTTTAGTAACATAAGAATAATTGGAGCGTACTCTTTATGTCTAAATTTATCACATAAATAATAAGATAATATTGTATGATTACTATTATCAGTAGAATTAATATTACATCCGTTATCTACCAAAAATACTATTGCTTCATTAATATATCTATGAAATTTTTCTAATGCTTTATGATCTTTAAGATCTCTTGTTAAAGAGATATTTTCGAATAAACAATGTAATGCATTCTTTTGATTATTATTAGAATATTTAAAATCTGCTTTAAATTCTTTTAAAACTTTAAATATTTCTATCATTTTTCTTCTACTACAATATTTTGCTGCAATTATTACAAGACGATCTCTTACTGTTAAAAAACGAGAAAATCCATTAGGTTTTGCACCATAATTGAAATGATGACGTAAACCTTCTGTATCTCCAAATCCAGCGTGATAACCGGCGTGACATTTTGTAGGTTTTTCATAACCTAATTCATTTCTATATTTATTTTCATATTCTTCCATGACATTTTGACATTGGTTTATTAGTGGGCACTAAAGAATAAAAAAAAAAAAGTTCATAAATATATAATAAATAGTGGTGCATAAATTAAATGAGAAATAATCAAAAAAAAATTTATATTTACTTCATCGAAAATATTGGTAGTAAGATAGGCACTAGAATCGGAAAGCGCTTTATGAGGAATTGGCCTCGTTTGATCTTGTGCAGGAAGTGGTTCTGTTGATTTTCTAGAAGGAGTTGTAGGACCATTAGAATTTTGGAATTGAGTCTTTTCCCCACTTGAAAGTGGGGAGGCATCTTGCGGTCCACTAAAATTTGAATTTAACGGTTGTTGCATTTGTACAGAAGGATTTGAAGCAATATTGGGAGTTTGGTTATTAAATTGATGGTGTTGAAAACCAGATGCGACTTGTCCGCCAGAGTTTGGAATAAAATTTGGTGCACCATTTGAAGCAATGTTTGGAGTAATATTTTGAGAAGGAATGTTTGGAATAGGTTGAGTAAATGGCTGGACTGGTGGATTTTGTTGAAGTTGAGGGTTCATCCCTTGTCTATTTATATTTTGGGGATTTCCGCCTGAACCTGGACGAAAATTATTTGCATTATTTGGTGAAGCTCTCATGTTTTGACCAAGAAATTGTTGATTAATTCCAGGAATGAATTGCTGATTAATAGCATGCGGAACTGGTGCAGATTGTGTAGGAATCTGACCAATAGGATTTTGATTTGATGGTGGAAAGCTATTTGGTTTAACGTTATTACCATGAAATTGTTGCCGAGCATTAATAGCGTTATGATCAAGGTTATTAACAGGTAGTTGTTGTTGAGTAAGATGAGAAGGTTGGTTTTGAACAACGTTCGGTAAATGATTTTTACTAGGATGATTAGCTGGAATTTGAAATTTTTGATCAACAAAGTTTTGACCGGGATTGACTTGCATTTGATTTTGACTGACAAAGTTATTATGATTAACTTGTCCAGCAAAGTTATGACCATGACCATTAACCGGTGTTTGATTTGGGACAATAAAATTCTGAGCAGGATAATTACCAGGAATATTAACTGGCATTGGGTTTTGACCAATGTTCTGTGGAGAATTGTTAGCTGGCATTGGGTTTTGACCAATGTTCTGTGGAGAATTGTTAGCTGGCATTGGATTTTGATGAACGTTTCGAGGAATATTAGGTGGTATTGGATTTTGACCAATGTTTTGTGGAGACTTGTTAGCTGGCATTGGGTTTTGACCAATATTCTGTGGAGAATTGTTAGCTGGCATTGGGTTTTGACCAATATTCTGTGGAGAATTGTTAGCTAGCATTGGATTTTGGTGAATGTTTCGAGGAATATTAAGTGGCATTGGATTTTGACCAATGTTTTGTGGAGGATTGTTAGCTGGTATTTGATTTTGACCAACGTTTTGTAGAGGATTGTTGGCTGGTATTGGATTTTGACCAATTTTCTGTGGAGAATTATTAGCTAGTATTGGAGATCTTTGTAATTGAGGATTGACTTGATTATTACCCTGTACAAAATTATTCAATTGATTTGCATTTGAAGCACATCCTGGTTGTCCAGGCTGACGATGGATATTGTTGTTATAATTTGCATTCAATCGATTTGGATCATTTATAGACATCTTTGCTATATTAGCATTCATCTGGCCTAGTGGTGGTGTAATTGGAGTACCAATGTTGTTGGGAGAATTTGAACGATTCTTTGTAGGCTTTTTGAGCGCATTCAAACAGGACTGTTCTGAAGGATCTACGCCCATTGACCCTAATATTTTATCAAGTTTAATATGAATATAATCAAGTTTTGGACGATTTGTTGGATTATGTTCCCAAGCTTGTTGATATAGTCTTTGATATTCAGGTGGAGTACCAGTAATTGGTAATTCTCTTTCATGTTTAACCACTTTACCAGCTATTTCTATTATATTATAGTCTTTGAAAGGAGGTCTACCACTAGATATTTCCCATAGTAATACACCTAAACTATAGATATCTGAAGCCTCGTCACGTTCATACTTTGGATTTCTAAAACATTGTGGTTCCACATACGCAGCCATCCCTGCTACAGCAGAATTTGAAGCAACAAGACTTGATTTTGATAATCCAAAGTCTGTGATCATAATTTTACCATCGTTAACCATTATATTTTTTGAATGCTGTAAGTAAAAAACGAAAATTAAAAAAAAACAATATAAATTTTTTTTTTCTCAAAATCAGCAAAGTAATAATAATAATAATAATAATAATAATTCTTACTAAATCTCTGTGCAAAATTTTCTCTTTATGAATGGCCTTAAGGCCACTTGCAATGTGTTTTCCCATCGAAATTTTGGTCACCCAGTCAAGTTTTTCAAAATTATTACGAAGGAAATCTCTAAGGTTTCCACCATCAGCATACTGTATGACCATATAATATTTTCCTGATGATTTATCTTTTTTAAATAAAATAAAATTCAAATATCGTGAATAAAAGATAAATTTTGTAACAATTATATATATAAATTGATATAAAGAATTTACCACAACTGACACCATAAAATCGAATAATATGATCGCAAAAATTTAAATGTCTAGTAAATTTAAGCTAAAATTTTTTATAATTTAATAAGTGAATTTACTTCATAAATTGTACACAAAAAAATCGTAAAGAATAAAAATATAAAATTATAAAATACCTCTTTAACAAAACTCTCAAATGATTCACCACTTCCACAGGCGGGATTATCAATAAGTGCTTTTAAAGCAACTGTCTTCTCAGCACTTGACCAATATGCCCTTGAAATCTCACTAGATGCACCTCGCGCAATAGGCTGTTTATCACGAAAATCTTTGTAATCGATTTCCCTTATGTGGTCTTCTTTAATTGCCAGTTCCAGCCATTTCAACATTTTAAAAAGTTTAACGTATATTGGAGGAAATCTAGATAAATAGGTTAACCTTTACAACACCAATATTCTTTTTTTTTTTTGCTGTTTAAAGAGGGAGCTTTATGTCCCGCGATGTTATTTTTTATTTAAGATTTACAACTATATATTGCATTACATTTTGCATTTCAATAAGGCCACAGTTAGCTATACGTATAACTTTAGTCATTGTCTATTTAAAGGTTCCGCCCGCAGGTTACCTGCTAATTGTCATACCTAAGATCTGTTTGTAGATTCTCTATTTAAGTCTTTCGATTTTCAATATTTTTTCTGTAACACTAACTTAAATATTTGGTATAATCAGGACTATGAGCTATTTTATCCATGAACTAGACTTCTACTCCAAAGTAGTCTGTGCTTATTTCACAAATTACTTAGGATTTTAATTTTTGTGATGTTTGCAAAATCTCAGGTTCTAGCTATGGTTCTTTATCAGTCAGTCAACCTAATTAATATCTAATTACTCTTCATCTAATAATCTTGAAACCTTCTACAGATAGAATCTTCTTTCTAGATCAGATGCTAACCAATGTGACTTGTAGAAAGGTTGTACTACTTTACCACTTGGAATTTTTACTATTAGGGATATTAAAAGTTCAGTTCAATTCAAAAATCAAGTTTTTATTAAAATTTGATTCCAACTTAAACTTGAAACTCAATTCATGTTTAACTGAACTAAACTTTTAACATCTTTATCTACCATGTAGGTCTCCTACCTGTAGATCCTATTGAGATTTACGTATTTATAACTTGATGTAATTTGATTTACAAGGTTACAACCCCAGAAACAGACAGGATTTACCGTAACTACAACACCAATATTCAATTCAGTGCTGATAAATAAAATAAGTATAAACTAAATAACAATATAATGAGTAACACTAGATTTACTTATTTCTGCAAGTGATACGTATAAATACAAAAAGTAAAAAATTAATTTATTGATTTTTTTTTTATTAATAACACGTGGTTGGGATTAGGGTTCAAGGTAAAAATAAATACGTAAAGAACGATAGCAAAATCAGCTAATAATAAATCAAAATTTTGGTGAACATAACACGAACAGGAAAATCCAAAACAAACTTTTGTGCTCTGATTCCTTGAGTGATTTTATTATATCAACTCTCAAAAACAATCCCAATCCCAACCCTAACTCTAACATAAGTGCTAACCCAAACATAGCTGGTTTTTAAGAATTTATAAATCTGTTTTCTGGCCTGGCGATACTGGGGTCGACGAAGTATAGAGTATACTAAATTTTGCTAATAAATTTTATTAAAACATAATAGTTTGTTTCAGAGCACAAATCATACTGTATGTGTCCGAAAATAAGCTACTCTTTTAAGCAAAAAAGCTGCGAGGAGGTAGCTTATTTTCAAAACGTGAGTTTTTTTGGAATAATTAAAATTAACCAATTAAATAATGTTCAAATCTCACCAAATTTTTAGAATATACGTAAATTGATAAGCTCTACAACTTTAATTAGAAGTCCAAAGCCCGTTGACTTAGTAGAATTTCGGGTTTCATATATAGCAACTGTTTTTGATTTTTCTAATATGACTAAAAATGCAGGGGGTAGCTTATTTTCGGTATTGTAAAATGCCTGATGTAATATTAAGTGTCCGAAAATTTTCATTTATTTTGAGAAATTTCATTGGCTATGCTAGATAAAGTTACAAGTGGTTTTAAAAAAATCGTTATATCTGATCGATAATACAGATCCGATGATTTTTTATTAGCGTTAGGCAGGGTTGTAAACGGTAAGTTACCATCGGTAAATTACAGGTAAATTACCAGGTAAGTTACTATACTGGGATCTTCATAAATGCATCATCCAGTCAAACCAGCTCCTGCTCCAGAGAAAAACATGCAGCGTCTACATAAGAAACTCAATAAGCTTGTTACTATAACCTCGGGTAAGTTACCGAATTACTGCGGAGGTAAGAAAATTTTGGGCGGCTTTTAAGATATAGTTTGGCTAGCATTAATACTAAGTAGACTATGAATGAACATATAACCTTAGCATGGTTGTGAGAGTAAGCCGCCGATTTAGCCAATTAAAATTTTTTATTCTTTACGGTAACTTACCTGGTAATTTAGGGTAATTTACCAAGAAATTTATAAATTTACAACCCTGGCTTAAATCGGTAATTTTACAAAAATTTCTGTAGTATAACATTACACAATCTGCGGCGTACTAGCCAAAATTTAATAACGCTGGATTTGAAAACTTGTGTACCGTGATTATCTTCGACTTTAGGCCATATAAAATTAATTAGTTTTCATAACCCAGCCGAGTCAGGGTTTGAAAACTTTTAAAAAAATTTTTTATATATTTTAATAACTAGGTGGGTTTTTGTAAAAAAAAAAAAATATTATAGTATTTATAAAATTTTTACATATAAAACAAAAAAAAAAAAAGCCGGGTCTGATTTAAAATTTCATATTATGAAAACCAAATAATTACAGAATTAAATTTGTATGGCCTTATCTTCAATCTTATAAGACTTTTTACTTAATTTTTTAGCTTTTTGTTTTAATTGTAAAGCTTTTCCTTAAAGGCTAACAAGCTAGATGCGAACCCTTTTTTTTTTATAAAAAAAAAAATTTTTTTTTCTTTCGTTGTAAATGTTGAGTTCAGATCACGTTACTCAATCCTGCATTCTGATTGGACGATTTGGCCATATTGGTGTCCCTGATCTGCAGATTATAATGGAGAAATCAGCAATTTTAAATACAGTATAGTACTGTACGTGAAAATTTTTTTAGAATAAATCGTAAAAAAGCCTTTCGCGTTCTAATTAAAATTGTTCACTGATGTATTTGGCATATAGTTTATTTTATATATGGGGTTGAGTCAATAGAAATCAAGCAAATTTTTTCTAAGTAAATTTTTTTGAAACTTTAACCAAGAATAACTTAACAAAAAATCAAAATTAATAAAAATTTTTTTAAAATAAATATTACAAATTGTAGAATTTATTTAAAAAAATTTTTATTAAATTTGATAAAATTTTTGTTGTTATTGTTGTTTAAAGTTTCAAAAAAATTTCAATAAAAACAATTTGCTTGATTTCTGTTGACTCACCCCCATATGTTATGCTTACTATGCTCATTGCAATGCTATACGCACTATGCAACTATATGTACTGTACGTACTGTACGCTAAAAAATAATCAAAAAAAAAAACATGAAATGCAATCAATTTAGTAAAATTTTTTATTTTAATTCCAAGAACTTGTAGAATAAAATAAAAAAAATTTTCAGTAATTAAATTACTAGGAATCTTCGCCTCATATTTTTTAAGATTTAATTTAACATAACTATATTTGATTTTGATTAGCTGCACGTATATGGATTATTATCCCCTGGCCAACCACATCCACATGACTTTTTCATGTACTTACAGTATTTCTACTGACAAACGTCATCAACATTTTTATTGGTATACGTCTAAGTATTAATTTCTAGACCAGTAAAAATAAGTTGACGACGTTTATCAGTAGAAACCAAGACATGAAAAAAGTCATGTGGATGACCTGATTACTTATAAATTTTTTGTATGTATGTACCTAATTATAACCTGATAAAACTTGATTACCTTGTTATCACTAATCACTGGATATGTTTCGACCCAGGTTATAGCTCTATAATTATCAATGTTGTAATTTCTTCAAAATTTACTAACTGCTGAAGTTTTTTTTTTGCTAAATATAAACTTGTATTCGAATATTTAAAAATTTTTAAAACACTTTCATAAAAGTTATTAGAAACTGCTAGGCTTTCTATTTTTAAATATAATAATTGCAAAGCTTGTATCATCTCCAGTGATAAATAATTAGAATCTAATAATTTAAAAAGTTATTTTAAAAAGTAATTATTATAAAAAAACATCTATAACTATTATAGTAATTTACTATTTTATAATTAATTATATAATTATTTTTTAAAAGTATTTTGTAAAAATCTTACAATTTTGCTATAACGTTAAAATATTCTAGATCTAATATAAATTATTAATATTATAGATTACTAAGAAGAAATTTTTATAATAAATCGCAAATCTAGTTTCTTATTAGCTTCTTATTAAGACTAATAAATGATTCATTAGATTAATATTTGTTTTTTATATTTTATCAAAAAAATTTTATCTAATCATTTGTTAGTAAGAAGCTAGTAAGAAATTATATTTGTGATTTACTATAAAAATTTCTTCTTAGCGATCTATAATATTAATAATTCATACTATATTTAGAATATTTAGATACTATTATAAAATTATAAAATTTTTGCAAAAACTCTAATTCTAATTCTGGCTATATAATAAAAATAGCAAATTACTGTAATAGAAATATAATTTTATTATTTTTGAATAATAAATAATTAAATTACCTCAATTTATTTTACTATTAATTTCTGTTTCATCTAATAAATCTTCAAAGAATTCATTTTCATTTATTAATATCTCGTTTTCATAACTAATATAAGTAAATTAAAATAACTAATAAATAAATAAATATTAAAGATTTAATAAATAATTAATTTAAATAGATTTATATACTTCTCTTCATATTGATCGATTTCATTATTCATAAAGATATTCAATATTTCATTTCTAGTTTCACTTAAATCTTCATATTGATTATTTTCAATATTACTAATTTCCATATCTTCATCTAAATCTTCATATTGATTATTTTCAACATCACTAATTTCTATATTTTCATCTATTGTAAATGGTGCATTTTCTAAACTATCAGTATTTTTAATATCAATATCTGATTCAATTTGTATATTTTTAAAATTTTCATTATTATTATTTTCAATACTTGTATTTAGTTGTAAACAAGTATTTGACTGAGTTTTAATATTCTCTGAACTTTTTTCTCTAAAATTTAAATAAATAGACAAAATTTAAATTACTATATAATTAAAATTTTATATATTCTTACATTGTTACCATATTTCGAATATAAAATAGATTTTTATAATATTCATTTGATTTAACAGAATTAAGTTGAAAAATATTATGATCTTTAATAAAGTTTTTTTGATGTTTTAGCTTAGTTCATCTAGTAACTTTAATACCATTTGAGTTTTTTTGAATACATTTTGGACATTGACAAATTATAAAGTTTGAATCCATTTGTAAGGTTTTGAATTTGACAATAATTATTAAACTGATTAAGTATTAATTAATTATTAAGTATATTTTATGTTACACAATCTATTTGTAATATATTCTATAATTAATAGCCAATAATATTTAACTTTAATTAACACGTAAAAAATTTTGTGTTGATCACTATACTATATAAATACTGCAAATCTTATTTTGATTAAATTGTAAATCGCTATCATACTTACTTTTAACTATAACACCACAAGAAGAGATCCAAAATTTAAGTACACTTCTTGCAGAAACTGTTCAAAAAATTTCTGCACTTGAAGCCAAATATAAAAATCCTTCTACACTTCCAATAATTTCTAAACCAAAATCATCAAAAGATAAAAAACAATCAAAAATTTCGTTAAGTAAAGTTTTTTCTTTAAATGATACAGAAATTTCTGAAGTAAAAAAAATGGTAGGAAATATTTTAGACAATTATAGAATTTTACGCAATACAACAATTTCTGGAGTTAAACCAACACTTATTAATAACTAGATTGATATGGTAAAATTTTTTATAAAATATTATAAATATTTATATATACTAATAGCTTTTCTAGTTAAAAAAGGAATATTTGAAATATTTTGGTAAAAATAACTGGGTCTATTATGAAGCTATAAAGCAAGTTATGCAAGATCGAAGTAAATTTTTAATTATATCTTAGGTGATTGAAGTTAAAATTTTATTTAATTTTACTCCTCTACTTACAAGTCGCTTTTCAAAAATTAAACAATTAATAAGCTCCTCTTAAATTAAACAAATTTTGAAGCAGACAGGTTTTGAACCTAATTTTGAATTATTTAACTTGTTAAAATTAATATTGTTTAATTTTTTCTTCTTTTAAACAAATACAAAAAAAAAAAAAAAAAAATTATTAAATGAAATTTTAAATTCAAGTCACTTTAAGATTATTATTAAAATATTTAAACTACTAAAATTTTTTAAAAGCTTTTAATATTTTAAAAGTATATTTATTAATTTAATTTAACTTTTTGTAAGGTTCTTATGAAAAGCGAAAAAAAAAGAAGCAAAAGGTTCAGAAGGAAATACAAAATGATAATATTGAAAATCAAAATAATTCAGACATTGAAAATCCAAATAATTCAGATATTGAAAATCAAAATAATTTGGATATTGAAAATCAAAATAATTTAAATATTGAAAAAATTACAAGTGAATTCGAAAATGTGAATGTAATTAAGACAAATGCAGGTAAAAATTGAAAATTTACAAATATAATTTTATAATAATTTACTAATTTATAAATATATTATATTATTAATTTAAAGAAAATATTACTAGTAAACAACGACCAAAAAGAAAAAGAAATCAACCAATATCTTATTGAATCTAATTATAGTAGTAGTATTGAAAACAATAATATATATATGAATTATTGTATTGCTTTTCAATAAATTCATTTTGCTATATTTGATATATAATTATTATAGTTTAATAATAATTTATTAGTATTTTTTTATTATTAAATAATATTATTAAATTATTTTTTAATAAAAAATATTAATTAATTAATTAATTAATTAATTTAATAAAATATTAATAAATATGCAGTAATATTTTTTTATATAAAATTACATGTTTTAAATATATGTAAATGGTATATTTTCCATATTTTGAATATGGAATTTTACATGTAAAAAGACTGTTAAAAAAATGTAAATTCATCTGTAAATTACATACTATTTTCCGGTTATTTTACATATATTTCCTAGTTACTTTTACATGTATTTTTCCATAGTTTTCCATATTAAATTTTTTTATAGGGTTGAATGATTGTTATCAATGTCAAATAGTAGTTCAAAAATTTTAGGATTGATTTCTGGTGGAATAAAGTTTACAGGATCACAACTTTCTTATGAATTATTTGAAGATTCATTTGAAAAATTATTTGAAGAATTATTTGAAGAACTACTTAAAGAAAAATAATCATCTTCTCTAATTATCATTATATCATCTTCATCGGATAAGTTATAAACATCAAATGTATTTTTTTTTTGTAGTTAGTTTAATAATCATCTCTTCATCATCATCTATAGATGCTTTAAATTTTCCTTTTGCTAATCTTCTTGAGGTAAGTGTTTGTATATCAAAGTCATCTTCAGGAAATAAATCTATTGTATCAGTACTAGATATCAAATTATCTTCATTTGCATCACTAGTTGTACTTTCATCTTCACTTTCCAATCTTTTACTTTGATTGCTTTTAGAATTATTTTCTTCAGAATCATTCTCTTCAGAATCACTGTTTTCAGAATCACTGTTTTTAGAATCACTGTTTTTGGAATTATTGTTTTCAGAATCATTGTTTTCGGAATTATTG